AATTGAATTGAATTGAATTGAATTGAATTGAATTGAATTGAATTGAATTGAATTGAATTGAATTGAATTGAATTGAATTGAATTGAATTGAATTGAATTGTCAGTTGAATCTTACTTGTGTTTTTTTTTAACATAGGACAACAAGGTGTTCAGCTTTTACAAGCACAAGCTGGAGGCTGGCTACCCCAAGGATATCTCTGAAGTCTTCCCTGGAATCCCCAACGATCTGGATGCTGCTGTGGAATGTCCTCACCCAGAGTGCGCCAACGACTCCGTTATCTTCTTCAAAGGTAAATAAAAGTTTTCACTGACTGTGAGAAAACTGTGGTTATTATTCCTATGAGACCAAGAACATTTTTCACTATTTCCAAAAAAAAAAAGCTACCCGAGGAAAAACTTTAAAACACGCGTCTTTTTTTCCCCTGAAGGGGACGAAATCTACCACTACGATCTTAAAAGCAAGGCTGTAGAAGAGAAAGAGTTCAAGTCCATGCCAAACTGCACATCGGCTTTCCGCTTCATGGAGCACTACTATTGCTTCCACGGGCACATGTTCTCCAAATTTGATCCAAAGACCGGCGAAGTGCACGGCAAATACCCCAAAGAGGCCCGCGACTACTTCATGAGATGCTCCAAGTTCAGTAAGTTAAAAAGCAAAGTGAGCAATGTGATCAGATATGACTTCAAATTTGACACAGCTGTAGATTTAAATACCGTTTCTGTGCTGTCGATGTTCCGGGACTGTAATTTTCTAGACCAAAGTTATGTTTTGTATTTTTAACAAAAATACACTTTTTTTGTTGTTGTTATTTATTTATTTTTGTTCAGGTCCTGACAGCGACCATGTGGAGAGAGAGCGATGCAGCCGTGTTCACCTGGATGCCATCACATCAGACGACGCTGGAAACATTTATGCCTTCAGAGGTGAGATCTGACATCAGAACACATCATATACATTTATATGTTGTTCCAACATCTAAATCACTGTACTGAAGTGACGGCATTATGATCAGGGCTGGGTCTGAGGTTTGGCTGTACACCCAGCGTTCATCAGAGCTTGATTTATTCTCTTATGTCACAGGCCACCATTACCTCCGTAAAGATGACAATGACACACTGACCTCTGACACCATCGAGAATGATTTCAAGGAGCTGCACAGTGAGGTGGACGCTGCTTTCTCTTATGAAAATCACCTTTACTTGATCAAGGTAAAGCACCTGGAAGCACATTTCTGATCCTGTCATTAACTCTGCACACCATATTTACCATGTTTTCTGTTTCTCTTTTCTCCCAAGAATAACAATTTGTATGTTTACCGAGTCGGTGAGCCCCACATCCACCTCGATGGTTACCCCAAACCTGTGACGGAGGAGCTGGGCATTGAGGGTCCCATTGATGCTGCATTCGTCTGTGAGGACCATCACATTGCTCACATTATCAAAGGTATAAACACAGGCAGAAATACAGAAAGCAAGTATTGATTATCCCTGTATCACTTCTAGGACTGCTTTGAACTACATGATGTAGTTACATCATGTAGTGTTATTTGATCACTTAGATGACACAATGAGTCATTTAGCACTTACTTGAAAATGGTCACAATTATATTTACAAAGAACTAAGACTTTTAGATAGATATCTTACCATATCGTTCTGCCTTTTTTCCATCAGGTAATCAGATGCATGATGTGGAACTGAAAGTCACCCCACGTAAGGCAGGAAACGAGCGTCCAATCGGACCCTTCAAGAGAGTCGATACTGCCATGTGCGGTCCCGGAGGAGTTAAGGTGATCATAGGAAATCACTTCTACCACTTTGATAGCACCAAACTGCTTTCTACTGCCAGGTCCCTGCCTGAGCAGCACAAAGTGTCTCTGGAGCTGTTTGGCTGTGATCACTAGGACTGAATGGGTTGTGCAGGACATCGCATACAACACAGTGAAATATGGAGAAACAAAAGCACCAACGACTTCAGACAAGAGGCGCCACATGACAAGTTGCTAAGCTTTTGACTAAGAGCACTTACAGCTGATGCAGTATTTCATACCCATTGTTTCCCTTCCATGTCTTAGTAGTAGCCTTCTTTAATTCATTTAGAGGGTTGTTACTTTTCATGCTAAAGCTCTGTGGTCCTCCACGCAAAGTGTGCTACCAAGAAGGCAGATGTTTTTCTGTGATTCGTTTTGTACAGTGCTGTTGTGAATAAAGCAAAGTGGCAACAACCAAGAAGGTGAAACAGTGATGATTTATTTCTGTGATGTGTTAATAAGTTTCCAGGATGCTTCTCGGGCAGGTCCACGTACTCTGATCTGCAACACTTGCAAGGATAGAGAGTTTTTCCTACATAGTTCACTTTCTGAATATCCAAGAAAGAAAATACTTTCTGTACAGTACAAACAAACAACACATATACCATGAATATGAGTAGACTATACCTGTAGCATTTAAAAAGAAATTACATGTTATTTATAACATGTAACTGCATTTTCTTTTATAACTTACAACAGTACATTTTAACTAGACTTTTTTCAAGTGGGCCTATGCTGATTGATTGCAATGGAGTGGCAACCTGTCTGGAGTGCATCCTGCTCCTGCCCTATAGACAGGTGGCATAGACTCAGTGATAAGGGGCTGAGAAAGAAGTCTAAAGATAATATTTATTAGTGCTTTTATACATCTGAGAAGCTGTTTTGCGAACAGTTTTTCCAGAGGAAAAACAAGGAGACTTTCCGACCTTTTACCAGCAGAGGGCAGAAGAGTTCCACTTGGTTGATCTGCTTTATGACAATAGAATGAGTACAATACTTCTGTCTTTGCCTTTTCTGTAACTCTGCTTTTGTTTCTTGCAAACAGAGCAGTACAGATAAGTCAGAGCAGGTGTTAAATCATCTTATTCCTGTGAGGCACACATAGATGAGATGTGAATTATCCACAGGAAGCTTTGGTGTTCCTGTGCTTGTGAATTCCCACGAACCAGCTGCAGCTGGAAAAAAAACACAACATTTGGTTGACAGAAACCTGATGTTTTCTACCTGGTGAATAAACAGTGAGCAGTAAAAATATTCAGTGCATGTCTTTGCGAAATGGTAAGAACTAAATTCCTTTAACTTTCAAGTATCTGCAACTGGTTCCATTTTACAGTGTTCAATGCCCCGACACCAAATCTGCCAGGATTTCTTCAGATCTGTTCAATTTAAAATATAAACAAAGACTCGAGTTTTTCAAATATGTGAATGCTGACCTATTTAAAAAAACAACTAAAACTTTTGTAAACACATATACTTTTAGTACATTTGTCTTGTGATATACTATCAAAGCTGTGTGGCTGCATACTATTATCACATATTATTATTATGGAAGTAGCAGCAGTTCACATGTACACCTCAGGGCCCCGCACAAGACTAAAATGTTATAATATGTTAGAGCAAAACCTAATTATTCATTTTAAGTAACTGTGCACATTCAGCAGCGAAACCCCCCCAGAAAAGGTCTACGGTACGTCTCCGTTGATAGTGACCCTCATTGTAGGCATCACAATATGTCACATGTCACATTTGAAAAAAAGGTTCTTCCAAGTCATAATAGTCAAGTGACAAAAAACACACTATAAAAAAAAACTTTATTTACATTTTTTCCAAAAAAATTACTTTTTGCTTGCCTCCAAAACATCTGAGTTCAAGGTTAGTGTGGAGCTGTCACTGATGAGAATCAGGAATGACATCAAGGCATCACAGTGACTTGTGATTATTTTGGGAATTTACTAATATCAGTCTTCAGTTTGCTTTTTCTTTAAAAGCTATCATATGTATCAGCCCCACATTAAAAAGTGAGGCATATCTTTTTACATGTGATGGCCACATTTTGAACGCTGAGTTTCTTACTCGGTATAGCAGAGTGTCTGCCAGTGGGTGGCCTGTCACCAGTGTCATATCCACTTTACCCTGGCAATCCACCGCTGCAATGTGTGCAGACATATCATGACATCAGTGTTGAAGATGGCAGCAAAGACAGGCTGCAACAAGCAACATCCCATGTATAAGACTCATGTAAGCTATCATCCTAGCAAATATTGCTCTTACTCTGCAAATCACATAAAATAGCATCAACAACACTTTACTGATTAAACAGGACATAGAGCTAAAGTTAGAGTGTGACCCATGAATTATTTATACATACACTTAGAAGTTTGGTGTTGCTTCTTCCGTCCTTAATGACCTGTGCATCACACACCTCTAAACTGAGGCAATGGGATGATGTCAGGTTCATGACTGGGGTTGGAGTCTCTGATAACAGCATGCTTCATCGGATCACACAATCCCTTACTTCACCCCACCGGCTGCTGCGATGACAATGGAGAGAGAAACACTGGAGCCCTTCAGTGGCTGTGATATGATGCCACAGTGGGCTACAGAGGCAGCCAGCCCAAGAACACACATAAATCAAATCTGGTGTAATGTGTCTAATGAGAGGAACTCTGTTTGACAGGGAAACTGTAAGGTCAGTGCTTTCATTCACTAGTCTGCAATTAGATCATAGTATTGCATCTAATCATAAGCAGGCAATGCAGATACAGGGCAGGAAATAGTGCAGTGACGGCATGTGGACTCAAGTGGATAACACCTGATCATATATATGTGGAAACTGTCTGTTCCCGTAAATAATGTGCATCTTGAGGATGTATTTTTTAATTTCTGTATGTCAGCAGGTTCATTGTCAGCAAGTTTGCAATAGGTTATCATATCCTCTCAGTTGCTCTGTGTATTTCCCTGCTCAACACAAATCTTTAGCTACAGCTTTGCAGAATCTTTGTGTTTACTACTCACAAATTGCATTTCAAGCATTTGTCTTCCAACTAATTTTTCAAATGCACTATTCCTTCAAAGTTTTCATGGTAGATCTGCATACTGGGAAATATACTTGTAATTACACACTCTGCTCTCTCTCATTTGTGTAAAATGTGTCCTTGACAAAAATGACCTTAGAGATTAAAGTCATAACCTACTCATAATAACCTATTTTAACCCAAATAATGATCTTCTACTAAACCTAAAAGTATTTTTGATGTAGGCTTCCTCTGCTCACAGGTATCTGCACCAACCAGTAAAACAAAGAGTAGTCCCAGCAGCCCCTGCTGTAGTGGAAGGTTACCTATGTCATAGAATAATAAAAATGATGTGATACAACAGTTTTGTAAAGATTTTTCATCAGTGTGCTGCAGGGTAAATGGACTGATTTTTATATAGCGCTTTTCTTCTCTCCCGGAGTACTCAAAGCGCTCTATACAACATGCCACATTCACCCAATCACACCCGTTCTCACGAGCACTTTATCTATACTCAGTGCTATCTAAGTACATTCACACACATTCATACTCCGATCGATGCATCGGAGAGCAACTTGGGGTTAGTATCTTGCCCAAGAATACTTGACATGCAGACTGGAGGAGCCAAGGATCGAACCAACCAGTAGGTGACCTGCACTACCTCCTGTGCTACAGCCACCCCTGACAGAGTCACAAGCGATGCCTCAGACCAGCCGTAATAATCATCACAAACTTTCACTTTGACGCATCATTTGGTTGCACATACCAATGACCCTCCATACTTCCTCTTTTCTCCTCTGTTGGACTGTCCGGCTGTGGGAATGTTCCTTTTGCTTATGCATGTGTGTGCATCTGTGTGCATGTGAATCGTCTTCTTGCTGTTTGTGACGCTGCTTAATTAACTGGACTGGGAGGTTGATGGACATCTGCTCTCAGCCTGCCGTTTAGGGTAGCTTGACCCCCACTTAGTGTGTGTGTGTGTGTGTGTGTGTGTGTGTGTGTGTGTGTGTGTGTGTGTAGGACAAGCAGGTATGGACATTGGCCAAGACTGTGCCAGATAAACGTTGGAGCTCATGACCAGATGGTGCCAGCTAGCGTCCCCTCTGTAGACTGGTGACCGCTAAAAACACTCCCTCAGATGTAACCCCGGTGCCCTGCATCAAACTGTCAGAGAAAGCAGCAAAACCAGTCTGGTAAAGGCACACAGAGAAGACCAAAACACACACATACACACACAGGTTCAAATAAAATGATGTGGGTCATGCTGCAGGCACTTCATTGGCCATTTTACTCCATGTCTTGTGTGACAGGTATGACTCCAGATGTAAAATTTACTGTTTGCAGTTTATCAATGATCCCAGGAATATTGATTAGATCCATTTTTGTTTTGTCCTTTCAGTAGATAGTGAGCCTAATGCTCAACTTTCACTTGATATATCTTAGCTGATGTTAGTCGGTCCTTTCTATGGGAAACACTAATGGAAGGGCTAATAGGAGAGGAAAGAATAAAACATTATCCTAAATAAATGTGGCCTTTTTTCATGTTTCTTTCTTCTTCTTCATTTTTAGAAATCTTGGATACATTAGCTCAAGGATGTTTGCATCTGTCTAACAGTGGGTTGCAGCTGTAGACTGCCTCTTGAAACCTTACAAATGTAAAAGATACGTAGTGAGTCTTAGTGAATGCAGTAACTCATCACTTAAGCTGTCAAATAAATATCAAGTATCAAGTACCTCCTTTTCATATTTTTAGAAGCGTGTTTGTTTTTTTTTTTTCAGATTGACAGGTTGATCCTTTAAATTCTAGTATATTCTTGTTCCTTGAGACCTAAAAAATAAATCTATATATTTTTGTGTTGTGTAATAATTAAATGCTTATACTTTGACTAGAAATATTTTTGACTGAAAATATTGGAAAGTAAAGGCTCACTCCTCATTTCCTGTTTGGAGTTCTGCCCTCTTCCCTGAATGCGAGTGCAATTACGATTCCTTCCAGCAGTATGAAGAGTTGAACTTTGCTATGTGTCATTAATACTGTATGAAAGACTGACTGCAGTTTATTAATAAACTCTTCAAGTCTTTTTATCAGCCAGGGTTATCCAGAATTCAAACCTGATGAATGCCAGAAAACACCTAAATTTAAAAAAGCACGTCCATCTTCACTCAATCTTTTTCTTTGTTGAAATTCACCATCCTAAATACACCTTTCTGACTACCTTTCCACTCGTCATTCACTGACTTCCTCTGTTTTTCTCCCTGCAGTTGGCAGTGTGCCTGGTCTGCTGCTGTTTTTCTTGCTTTGTTTTTTGCCGTCTGCCCCTCTTTCCCCTCCTACTCTAAAATTGCCACCACCTCCACATCCTATCCCATCCCTTCTCTCCTCTCTGTATCTCTAACC